CATTTGCTAAGGATTAGTCTGTCAAATCCCATGTCTCTGTAATCCTAAAACACTGACCTTTAGCCAAGAGGACTATAAAAATAATTGTCTAGGCTTTCAAGATGATGAATATGCATTCAAATAACATAAAAAGAATTACTGATTTCATTTCCATTATTTTGGAAATTGTTAAAACAATTTGTTGATTGAAATTCTTTAAATTAAATTTTGCATACTATAACTAATGCCACAGAAGAAAAAAGCCATAGCACATTTCTAATGAACAATAAATAGATTTTTTAACAGAGAAGACATGCAAAAAAATGTACTTCCACACATACAGTACAGTATCAACTGATAACGGAAAGTAGAGACTACAGAGAATTCAAAATTGCAGATTGCATTGTACCATAAGTACATTGGTTGATAAATTTTGCTGAATTTCATTGCTGTAATTGGCACTATACTATAACACAAATTGCACTGAACATTACTTGTACCGTACATGTTTGAGAAATATAATTCAGAAAAGAAGTTATTTAATACTAATTCATAAATGAGAAACCATGTAATGGATGTCTGCTATGGGAATTACAATTAAAAAGATAAAATGTTAAATGCTTTGTATTTGTAGTTGGATTATCCCACCCAAGGAAAAACATCATCTCCTTGTACAGCAATTCAAACAAAGTACTGTATATGCAGGTTATTACAGCAGACTTGAAAACCTTAGTAGTATCCTGCCAAACAATTATGAGACTTTAATAATTAGTTTTAAATGTGATGAAATTCATATATGCATAAAACCTTTTCTTTTAACTTATTTAAATGCCTTTCGAATAAAAAATAGAACTTTTCCTGAATGGCTTAAGCGTATGTTGTATAAAATTCATTTCCTTTGTTTCTTTCAGCTTCACAATGAAATCAGTAGGTACAAGTTGAGATACCAATCAGTTTTATAAAGAACTTCCTTTTGTTACCATTTTCTCTTGACATCAATTGGAATCAAACTGAATCAGCAATATTGATAAAGAGAATATTTAAATATGCAATTTGACAGCTTGAAGCACATCTCTCGCAAGTGTACGGTCGTTTCTGATTTTCATATGCAATGCCTAATGTTGTGTAACCAATTTTATTATTTCCATTATGTAAATATATTTTCTTCCACGCTATATTTTATTTATTGTCCTTCTTTTCTAAATTACTTGGTTATTAATATTGCTGCACTGTGAGCTAAAGTAAAAAAAAAAATGCCTCAGTGGTCCATTCAATACATTTTGAAGCTTGTACATAATTTTGAAGAAAGCTATTCTTGAAACAGAATTCATTAGAAAAGTTTAACTAGGTTAATGGATTCTTTCTTATTTATTTTGGATGAAGCTGAAAGCTTTTAGGCTCTGACAAAAACAAATGATAAACTTTCACAATATAGGAAGACCTTTAATTTAAAATAGAGAAGAAGTCAATGCTGCGTTTCGTTTCGGAAAAGTTGCAAATGGGCTTTTCCATAGTCATCGTCCTAAGAGGAACAAATCACCGGAAGTAGAGCAATAGTCTTATATTTTTGATTCTGTGAATAAATATAATGACAGAGACAAAGTCCTGTTATTGTACTCAGAAATACATAAATAATTGGCATGTCTGGCACATTAACACTTACTCAGCATGTAACATACAGTCTAAAACAAGTTATACCTATTAAATGACTGTGGAAAGGAATAGCTCATTAGTATATTACATTTTTTCACATATTTTGCACACAATCGGTTCATTAGGAAAAAAACAATACATCAATAGGCTCATTTCTATGCTTATTATAGCTATTCAATTTAATTCCTTTCTCTTTGCCCCGTGGCCAGTAGACAGTCACATCTGCTATTAACTACTCTGTAACATTTCCGAAATAAGCTCATGAATCTAAATCTAATATTTCTTTATTCAGAATTCTGGCCCAGCTATCACAGCTAATGGCCTTGATGCAATTTAAAATGGCAGTTATTACACGGATCACAAGAAATCAGAATCTACCATGAAGAACAAAAAAAAAAGGAAAAGGAAGACGTAAGTACAGAGGAAGGAGAAGAGGATGAGGAAGATAAGGAAGCTGCCTGCTATTTAAAAAGATATGATCAATTTAATTTTATCAGCATCCAGTCTTCTTCCTGTAGCTGTCAGAGAGTACGATAAGCTGAACAGGTCTTAACGTACGGCACAAACTTGTCATGGAGAAGGAGCTGTGTCCCTGAACCCAGCCGAGATGAAACACGCTCATTTATTATTTTGGCACTGCAGGAAGATGAAGAGGCAGAATGGCTCCCTACCTTCAGCTCCTGTGCAATTTTTCTATTCCATTAATTTTTCATGAAATTTCATTTCTCAATAATCCTTCTCCACTCACCCACCTGGGGTACATTTCTTTTGTTCCGCTTTACTCTTTCGCTGCTCCCCATTGCACCTTAGCTTGTGCCCTCAGTTCGCTCAAGTAAAGACCTGGACTAACAGTGGCAAAATGGCTCTTCATCTTAAACATGGCTACAAGCTTCCATCCAAATTCTCTCTGTTCATGAATGCACCCCATTATATCTCTCTGCAACCTTTACTGAAGAAAACAGAACATAAGGAACGAACATTAAATCAACATGGAAAAAATGTTCAAGACGTCCATAGATATACTGAAATTTATGTTCCCGATTTAGGATTTTGTCAAAGAACTAAAGTGTAAAAGAAAAAAAAATAGTAATTTTGACTGACAGTGACTTCTAACTGGCAAGCACCTCCACAGGTATGTACAGTACAGTAACCTTCTTGATTTGAAATAAATATTGAGGAGTGATGAAAGTCTTTTGAAAGTTTAATTATTACTTTTGGTTTGAAAGTTTTACATTATCATCTACACCAGCCTCCTTGTTCTGCTGTCTTTAAAATGTATAACATTCAATTTATTTTTCCTCAAAATACAGATAACATATATAAAGCACAACAAAAGGTTACTCCTTTTGGAAGTTCTGAGGAGCATATTTGCTGCACAATTTTATAAAATATGATATTCTTTTAACTCATTTTCTGTAGTATGAATATTCTGTAAATGTATTCTGTATTTATTTGAATGCATATACAGTACAAAGTCCTGACAAGGGGCAGAGCAGTTGTGTGGATTCAGTCCTCAGTTTTTCAACAGACTCCGGCTATCCACAACCCTTACTGGGGTATGCGGAATTCTGATAATGGATGGAATTGAGCTTCTCAAGACACAAGCTATTTTTTCCACCTCTTGCGCATAACAAAGTACTGTAGAAAAACTGTTTCTTTTTTGTGTGTATTGTGTGAGTATTAACTGCAAAACAAAAATGAAAGCCAGTAAGAGTCAAACACATATAATGGTCCTTAAGTTCTGAATGAAAAAGACATTTTTGAATAAGTGGAAGAGTGCAGGGAATACATTAGTTCTTATTAATACAACCCCCACATAAACTCAAGAAATGCATTCTAGCCATTTATTCGTAGATGGGTTATTACTATTGGCACATTAAATCCCTTCAAAAGTTTTCAATCTGCATATGAAAACAAAATCAGCTCCACAGAATTAACATTGAGATTTCAATATTCTAGAAACTTCTAAACACAAAATACATTTTCAATCTGTTCCATGATGTAAAATGAAAATATACATATGAATCTTTTAAATGGTTTATGTTTTAGGGTTAAAATACAAATTGCTCAGTACTACACAGAAATCCATTTTGTGTGACAAAATGAAAAGCCTGTCTCCAACTTTGGCTCATTCCTCACAATATGTATTTTTGCATTTAATGACGTACATAAATTAAATGCTAATATGTCAAATGTTGTACCCTTCCAGTAAGATTAACTGGATTTATATTGACACATCAGGATTAATTTCATTCTTTCAAAGTAAAAACAATGTAACCTCTTATCCTCATGTACACAGACATATTGTAGTCATAAATGTTATTTCATGACGTATTTTCTGAATTCAAAAAGCTTTTTTTTTTAAAAAAAGGGATTTACAGCTAATCCCACCTTTTCATTAACTTGGAACCTAAAGAACATTAAGAGGTCCCTGTTTTGATTAAAGCTCTAACCTATAAACTATTATTAAAACAGGCAGTCATTAGATGTCCTTGCACAACTAGTGTTCCCAAGAGAAGCCAAAGGACGTACTGTAGAAGAACAATTAGCCCTTTTACAATCTTGCTCTGATATCTTGGCAATATTAGTTATGCTAATAGATTTCACCTAAAAACGACAACATGAAACAAAAGGCAAAAAGCCCACATTCCTTTGAAAGTGCTAGGCAGTTGGAAGCTGATGATAAATGTACTAGTTTGGACAGTCTCAGACTGGCAAATGTTCAAATGTACAGTAACTGGCACCAAAACAAATTCGACTTAATTTCGTTTTCCCAAACACGGCCTTTGAAGTTAGAAAAGGGGTATTTTTTAAAATAATTTTTAACATCAACAGGACGAAACGAACCTTGCTCGGAAAGATACACGACAGTGAAATATGATGTAAATTGATATACTGTACTGTAAACACCGAATGTTCCTAATATTTTTAGCAACTTAAACCTAAGTGTAAGAAATTCATTTACTGCAGTTTTTGACAATTCTCGTTTATTAATAGATTTTGGAGCTTACTTTACAAAGTATATTTATGTGAGAAGCATATTACAACAACTTTCACACAAGTAGTCTTAACGAGTATCTTAACAGTCCATTTTTAATCCAAACGTTCTTTTACTGATTAAACATGACAAAATGCAATTCACAAACGCACTGAATAAAAAAAACTAAAGTAATTTATGCAAGGACATAACTAATACATTGGCAAGCGAAAGTGAGCTCAGGCGGCATTTACAAACCTGAATAAAGGATGTTACGCAGTGGCAGGTGAATGTCATTTGTCTGTCGCTGAATCTCACTCAGCAAGTCACGCTTGACCTCAGTAAGCGATAAGGATACCGAAAAAGACACGCTATTTATATAAAAGTTTACCTTTTCTCTTCGACCTCCTCCTCCTTCTTCTTTTGAACTTGCATTTGAGTTGGCTGTTAGGAGTTCCCGAAGCGCGGGTGCTGTTTCCAAGAACTGATGCCATCGATGTAGCTCTGGGACAACGTTAAATATAACCTTTGTTTTCGTTTATGATGTGTCCTAGGTTGCCGTGCTCACTTTCTAACCTAACACCGTTGACGCGGCAGCTTATTTTCTCTCTTTATTCCTTCAGGAACTCTTTATTGGTTACCCTTGCTGTTGAAGCACTGTCTGCACAATAATTTATTAAACTCATGCGAGCCTCTAGGAGAGGCTGTATCAGCATCACAGTGAGATAGCTTTCAGTAGAGCCGCCTTTTTCACGCAGGGCTGTAAATGCTCTGCTTCTAGTTTCTGCACCTCTGCTATTTTTTTTTTGGCACCAGCCACTTTGAATCCAATCATGCAGGAAGCCTATCTATTTGCTGCCGCAAATTCTAATTAGACCCAATCATGACTGTCTCCAGGCTCTGACATCACCACATCTACCACCAACCCCAAACCCCCCTCCCCTGTAGCTTGCAAACTCAGCTCCCATTTGGGCTGAGTGATGTCTAGGTCCTCACACAAAAGAAGGAAGAAGTACATTATTGGTATTGAAACCATATAAATGTTTTTATATTTAACATATAAATCAAGATTTTTTTACATACAATACACATATACAGTGATTAGATATGACAAACCCGTGTTTTCGGAAAGTAATTGAACTTCACACTTTATGTCAGGATGTCACTGAATTGGGAACTTTAAGCAGACTTGCATATATCTGTACTATTGTTTCTATATAAAGGCAGTGAACTACAGCTGGTGTGTCCTACTATGCAGTAGTTTTTGTGAAACAAATACTAGGAGTCTGTATTGGTCTTTTGAATGGCAGTTCCAGACCTGGGATTTGTTATAGCAGTCCTATTAAGAAAATTAACAGGTCAATTATGTAACAAATTGTTCGTTTGGACCGTAAGATAAGATCCTCCTGTATGCATACTAGAGTTTACCACCACTGAACAAGATAAATCTGATGCCGCACCTGATAAAGTCATTTTAGAGTATTTGTTCATTGATTTATGTTGTTGCTAAACAGATTCCCTTTCCTTAACATTACGTAGCTTTTTAATACCCACGGAATGTCAAAACAGAATGGCCTGTGCACCTGTATAAAATACAGTTTTGAACAGCACGTTAATAAAGATAATGTACAGTATCCTATTACATGTATTAGTACTATATTATTTGCGTGAAAGAACCTAGATGTAATCAGACTTTTTCTGTAAAGGATTTTACATGTTTTCAAAGACGATAGAAATATAGATTAATACCCAAATGTACAGTGTAACTGGCATTTATACATGTTTAACAATGGCCTGGGCAAAATCAGAACTTCCACTATAATGCCAGTCGCAATTTCTAAAATGATACTGTACTGTACCAGCTTTGCATCGATAAATACGAAACTAACATTAAAAAAGAAAACCGCGCTGAAATTTACGCTTGGCAGACAGGTAAAAGTTTTTTTTTTTTAATTTCCAGTGTCCTCGTATACAGTATAAAGTATACTTTTAGGATAGATTTGCTTAAAACTGAGTTCCAAGCTTGCATTCAGAGATTTGGGCAAAGGAGGTCAAAACAAACGTAACATGCTTCTGACCTTCAAAGACAAAAGATTTTGACAATTCAGAGGGAGCACTGCCTTGAGAAATGTGACATTTTGACATTTTATATGAAACGGAAGTGTAGACTATTACGACAAGCATTAACATTTTGTCTTTGTTTTTCTGGCGATGCTGAAATTCCTGGCCCCTACGGATAAGATTTAGTCATGCTCTATTGTATAGTAGATGTCCATTGGTGCCGTATAAATTCAGAATGGTAGATACACATTAAAATAAAATGAAGGAATACGGCGTCAGAAGGTTTAGAACTTTTAAGCAATTATACTGATTTTCTCAGTACGACCAGTATGGCATTGCAAGAGTTTTAGTTACACTACATACGAGAAAGAACTCGCGTACTGGAAGATGTGCTTTTACAGAACAGTACTGGGGCACGTCAACCAGCAATTTTTAAAGTTAAAAAGTCAGATTACGAAAGAAATAATGAAAGTTCTAAGGTAAAACTAAGTCAAATAAATGGATGCTAGACGATAAAAATACATTAAATATCGCTCATGGTTAAATGATAAATTTGCATTTATATTATGAATATTAATTTTATCTCTTGAGCAATGTTTTATTAAATAACACGGGCCTGAGAGTATCCAGATGTTCTTGTCGATTGGTTGGACATTGTACTGTATAGAAAAATGGGCCTATATGTAACGAGGCACTTTCATGTAGGTTACCCCTTTCCCATAGTTGCAAAACATCGCAAGGAATTACTTGATGCTTCAAGCAACGTCCGACCTAATCATAAACAGAAAGCAAATAAAATGGCACTATGGCATTCAAGAAACCCGACATGCTTTCTTCTGCTTTAAAAAAAAAATAATGACATATTTGCTGATGTCGGTGGGTCAAGTCACTTTGAGTTCCTTTGTACTGGAGAAACATTTTCATGACGGCATTAGTTAGCAAACAGCAAATGTGTCAAAGGTGACATCACTTGCTCAGAGGACACTCAAAAATATCCATGTAAATTGCAGTTTAAGAGAAATCAATAGATGTGACAAGTTGCCAATTCTACTATCTCGGGACGTAATGAGGTGTGTGCGTGTAAATCGCTAACAGATAACAAATCTAAGTGAAATTACAGGCCAACGCGGCTGCACTGAAGAAGTGTTGTGGAAAATGAGCTGTAGCTCCCAGGTCACGGCTCCCTGCAACGAAAGTGTATGTGCACTTGTCCTTCCTAATTGTAAGTGGCAGTAGTGCCTTACTGAATAAGTTCAGGGAATATATTCAACCTCCCATCTGTTCTACACACTAACTTTCCCTGTAATGCCAAGATGAGGTAACTGACACTCTTTGTTTGTTGGATACTAACCCGATTTTCACTCTCTTGTAGTATTGTATGTTTGACAGTTTTGAGGAAGCAAGCGAAACACAGACTATCTTCATATTCACCTTTTAGTGCTTTGGCCGTGGACGACTTGCGTTGCACATCTGTTTTTATAATGGCTTTAAATGTTTGTTTGTTTTTCTGGGTTGGTGGGGGGAAATAGGATTATCCTCCAGCATTTTTATAAGAAAGATAAAACCCAAAACACGTCCCCTTTTGTGGGGGACATACTGTAATGGCCTATTTAATAAACGAAGCTGTATCAACAGCAAGCAGCATCTGCTGGGCAGCAGTTTTTGCCAGCGTGGGGATTACTTAAACTTGCGCTCCCTCGGTTTGCTTTTTTAAGAAGAATCAGAATTCAGGGTTCTATTCATTTCACTAATATGCCGTTGTTGTAGGAGCTCGTTGTCATGCCAGGATTCCTTACAGTACATTGTGGCCGCTGTCGTTCTCACAGCGGAGCTCCGCTGTCCGTGGTGCTGAATTTGTAATATTTTTGTTTTCTTCGGTTTTCTCTTTCGACCCAGCTACGCTTCTCAGGCACTACCATTAAGTATTAAAAGTAATCTGAATGAAGACTAATTTTATTTTGTTTGTTTTGTTTTGTAATATTATTGTATTGCAACGAATTTAACAGCAAAAATCCACACTTTTTGTCCTAGGTGATTTTCTCTCTGCTTGTGCGAACATACTGTAACTGTACAGCCAATGGGATGGAATGTGTCACGCTAGTTTATTGAGCACTAATTACATTACAGTACATCTTTAAACAGTTCACTCGCCAATTCGATGTGCTGTTGATACAAACTAAACACACTGCGCAAGAAATCTTCGCTATATCCCATGAATGAAGACAATGTCTAAAGACGTTTGTTGTGCAATTTGTCAGTTTGGAGCAGAGAAATTGTAGTACATTCGACGTATTTGTCTCTGTTTTTACAGTTACAGTGCATTTCAGCTGGATTCTGGAAGTTCCAGCTTAATTACTATATCATCTCACTGTTACAGGGAGCTTTAATTTTGAACCTCAGAATATTTTATGGCAAAATGCTTGAATGTAAATGCTACTTCACTTCATATAGTCGTTACATCCTAATTAGATATGCTGTGGTTATTTGTATAGAATGGAATGCGTGATTAGTAAGGGCATATACTTGACTACTTTTTAGGAAATACAAATGGCCAATTAATGTAGAAAATATGTAATCTAGAATATGGTAAACCTGACCCAGAATGTTGAAATGTAATAATCAACCTTTTTTAATGAGCCCTTTAGATTTTTTAATCTACAGTACATACAGTACCTTCCGGGGTCAAATGTAATGTTGCTTTTTTAGTTAACTTAATAAATAATCAGTTAAGCAAAATAATTCAGAGACCCTATAGACTATGTTTGGAGATCCCTAAGATGTGTGGTCTGAATTGTTAGGTACTCTTTGGGTTGTACTCAGTAAAGGTCCTCACGTGATAAACTGTGTATATGGGTGCTATTCATCAATCACTGTAAAACAAAAGAAGGGCATTAACAAAGGTTATGAATGTGAATGGGCTCAAAGCAGACACAGTGCCACTTACCAGTCAGCAGCAGCTTCTGCTATACCGAAAGACTGGGTCTTTTACTGTGGGAGAACTCTACACTGTCTAAATTTCTAGAGGGTGACATCACTTCTGCAACATGCTCACTGCACTGAGCCCTGTTGCACAAACACACTTTAAAATAGGACAATGGGTTCATTAGTGACAGCTGAATATGCAAAATGCATGCTAATGTATTTAAATACTGTGGAAAGATTAGTAGATAGCATTCACTCTACCTTATTAACCATAAGGTGTTTCTTAATTTGCTTGATACACAGCATTATGGGAAATAATGTGCTATGAGCTGAGATCTCTCTTATTAAAAAGGTGCTACTCAGCAGAAGTGTTGTTTTCATTAAGAAGATGCCTTGCTAGCAGAGAAAGGGGCCTTTAATTTGAAAAGGGTTAAATGAAAAGTAAAAACAAATGTTCAGAGTATATTATAGTTCAAAATTTAAAAAAAATCTCCATGAAACTTATACAAATTAGTTGGGTAAACACCATGAACATAATACTGTATAAACCTGTCTTTACTTAATTTCATAAAGATTTTCAAAGTGAGGTTCTGCCAGAACAGTGTAGAATGCCTAATTCAAATAATATATTTACATATGTATTACAACTGTGTACTACATACTGTATTAAGTACAACTATCTGTGCACTACATCACTGTAACATGTTTGTTTTTTCTCTGTTGCAATGAAAAGATGTTTGAAATGTTGCACTGGCTAGAGTGGTAGATGAACAGATAGAAATATGAGAAGAGTGTTGAGCACCTTTGCATAA